TTTTTAAGGGAAAAATCACCAACACTATGAGCCACAAGGGAACGTCCGACTCCGACCACGCAGATAGCTCGACTCGTCTCCTGACGGACCAAAACCCCGATTCCGAGCCCACTCCACGCAGTGAGGTGGGTGACGAATCATGACTCCGCGCGGAGACGTGGCGCCGTACGTCTGGAGAACTTTTGCGTGTGAAGCTTGCAAGGATATCACTGAGATGGTTGCTTTTTTGGCCCTACCTGCGATGGCAGTTCCTACATTAACCGTCACAGGTTTGGCTGCAGGTGGCGCGGTCGTAGCTGTCGTGGCAGCACCCTTCGCACTTGCGGGTCTGGGCTTCACCGCAGGCGGTGTCACAGCTGGCTCGGCAGCTGCTGCCGCGCAGTCCGCGCTTTACGGAGGCGCCACTACCGGTGCCTTCTCTGCACTCCAAAGCGCCGGCGTCCTCGGACTCGGCACCGTGGGTACGTCTGTCGCCGCTGGCACCGGGGCAGTTTTGAGTATGCTGCACGAATCGAACCCAACCGAACCGGGTCCATCACACACCCCCACACACGCTGTTCCTGCAGGCGGCCTGGCGGGAGTCGCGGCGGGGCTCGCTGCTTTGTAAGAATCGAGAGAGAACGGAGACAGAAGGCACAGCCGCTTTTCTGCTGATCTTTGTCTATGAAAGCAGAAGCAGGGGAACCACCGTTCTCGTTTCGTAGTACAGTTATCTGGTATACTTCTGAAGTCCAGTTCTGTGAGCTCGATGACTGATCGAGCTCACAGGATTGTACCCCAGACAGTGTGGTTTGAAATTATGCGATTTTTGGGCATAGAACATTCTGGAGTTACACAACCCTGAAAAAGAAGGTCGCAGCGTGATCATGACCTGACAGGTAGGTGGCTGTTCAATTCCCGTTCACGGCCGCCACCAACGCGACTCACATCTCTGTACCTGTGTGCCCGTGGCCGCTGTGTGCCCGTGGCCGCTGTGTGCCCGTGGGCGCTCTATTGAAGACAGCATTCCTGTGTCTGCCTCGGTGCAATGACCCGGTACAGTACAGTGACGCAGCGACGAATGATGTCCCAGGGTGGAGACGTCCCGGTGCACGTGGAAACACGTGATTAGTGAGTCATCTGCCATGTTTTCTGTATTAGGCGTCGTGGCTATGGCCGTAGGTGGCGCCGTCCTGGGTGCCATCGTAGCACCATTCGCGCTCGCGGGTGCAGGATTCACGGGGGCGGGCGTCGCAGCTGGCTCGGCAGCTGCTGCCGCGCAGTCCGCGCTTTACGGAGGCGCCACCACCGGTGCCTTCTCTGCACTCCAAAGCGCCGGAGTCCTCGGACTCGGCACCGTGGGCACTTCTGTCGCCGCAACCGCTGGCGCAGCATTGAGTAAGCTCGGCCAATCATACCGAATCGCGGGCTGGACGGACGCAGCCGGACACAGGAACGCACATACATGGCTCGGCGGGCGTGGCTCAATACACACTTGCTGTTCCTGCAGGTGGCCTGGCCGGGGCCGCGTTGTCCAGTCTGTAACAACCAAGAGCAGAAGAGGCAGCCGTGCCTGCGACTCGAACCGCGTGCCTGGTGGTAAAAAGTCGAACGAGAGTTTGGAGAGGTGGTGACGCCGTCCTGCTTCCCCCACGCCGCTCTTTGTTCCGATAGCATAGTTCCAATAGTTTATTTTCGACAATGTAATTCTGGCAATGTAATTCTGGCAATGTAATTCTGA